AGCATTTTACTTCAGATGCTAATCATAGTATATTGGGTCTTCAGTTATTATCTAAAAAACAATAACAAATTCTAGCAAAATTGTGGAGAATGGGGAACTCTCCTGCATTGTAAACTAGTATAGTCACTGCAGAACACAGTATAACGATTCCTCAAAACACTGAAAGTAGAGCTACGCTTTAACTCAGCAATCCCATTTTGGGGATGAGAAATCACTTTGTTGGAGAGACATTTGTACAGGTATGTTTATTGCAGCATTATTCACAGTAGCTAAGTCATGGAATCAACCAAGTGACCAACACTGATAAGTGGATAAAGAAAATATGGCACATATACACAATGGAATTCGCTCAGTCATAAAGAGCAGTGAAGTTCTTTTGATACAAAGTAGATGAATCTGGAGGATATAAAGCTAAGTGAAATAAGCTGGACTATGAAAGACAAGTACTGTATACCACCACTTCACATATACCAAGTGTCCTTATTCTTTAGTACATACTAAAGAACTTGACAGAACAAAACCAGAAAGAATAACGATAAATACTGGAAGCTGCACAGTGTGGGGTGGGGCAGAGTGGTTCAAGAGAAAATGATGATCAGACACAAATATGCAGGTAAACAAGTGGAATAAGTTATAGAATGGTGTGCCACAGCAGAGCAAAATAAGTTGTTGACAATTCACTACATGCTTAAAAAAAAAACTAGTAGAATGAATGTAGTATGTGCACAACATAACATCATGTTAAATGTTGAAGATGGGAGATAGACAGGTGGCATGGTGGTTAAGGGCTTGAGATTCCCACATGGCTGACCATGGTTCGAGTCCCAAATCTTGCAGTTTGCTTTTTCACTTTCCTTCTCTCTCTCTCTCTCTCTCTCTCTCTCTCTCTCTCTCTGTCCCTTTCTGGTCAAACTGAAATAAAAAAATAAAGTTAAATAAAATGATTCTTCTTAAAAAAAAGCATTGAAGATGATGAGTGCTTGTAACCCTGATACACACTGTACACATACTGTAAAAAAAATACTGTACCCCACAGAGATGTACAGTAATTATATGTAAATCAGAAATTAAAATTAAAATGAAGAACTATTTTTCACTTTTTATTTCAACTTCTTTTAGAGATGTCATCATGGGTCATACTTAACCCAATGGTACTCATAAATGCTCAGATCCCACACTACAGAATCAGTAGTAAAAAAGAAAAAAAAAAGGAAAATATAGTAGAAATAGGGCAAAACTGGTTTGGGATTAGCCCTAACTGAGTGACTGCTGTCCCTGTTAAAAAAAGTAAAATGCAGACACGGAGAAACGGGGAAGATGATGCGAGGATGCACTGGGAGGACACCACGAGAGCAGAGGGAGAGGCTGGAGGGACCATCTATGAGCTAGGGAGCAACAAACATGGCCAGTGGGGCAGCCAGGTGGTGTGAGAGTTGGAGCATGGGACTCCCATATGGTTGACCATGGTTCAAGTCCTGGACCTGGTGCCTTGAAACTCACACTGGGCACGCACATGTGCATATGTGCCCAAAATCCTGAGAGGAGGATGGAGGAGAAGGGACTGTGGTGTGACCATCCCTTCTAGGGGGACAGGTGACTTCTCGCTTTCTGTCTCTCTGGCAAATGCATGCACCCTATAGCAAAAATCTCTCTTTAAAAAAAAAAAAAAAAAGGCAGCAACCAACAGAAGTTAGGAAAGAGCAGCGAGCCGGTTCACCCACATGGACACCTGGAGGGCCAAGATCACCGACAGCCTCCCACACTGAGAGAGAGTAAACTCCGTTGTTTTCAGTCGCTCAGTTCGTGATATCTGTTTCCACAGTCTTGGAAAACTAATTCCAATGCCAAATGCTGCTGCTACAGAAACGTCACAAAGGTTAAGGGCAGGAAGGAACGGTATAGCAAAAATGCAGGTAACTAATAGGACAGGCCTTGACAGAAGAGCATAATTAAATACTTAAAAATGATAATGTGAGGTGAGAAAAGGGAAATATTAAACTTGGGTATTCTGTTAAAGAGGCTCAACAAGGAAAGGCGGTAATTAAAGGAGCATGTGGTCAAGAGAGGGATATTTTAATGTAGATTCCTAGATATGTTTCAGTATTGGAGAAAAGGAGGAAAAAAGAATGAGATGCTGAAGAAAGAGAAAAGACAGGAATGTTTTTTTAAAGCAGCACAGATGAAAGAAGGGACTTAGGAAAAACAAACCGTGCTCACTGTGAGAGCTCAATGATGAAAGGATGGGTTAAAGTCACAGAAGTGTCAAAATTCTTGGCTGATGGCTTCTAATTTTGCCAGGTAAACTGGATACAACATCATTTACAGAACATAAAAAGAAAGATGAAAAAGGAAGAGACTTTTAGGAGTAGATGGAAATTTTGGAAATGAGAACTGATTACAGGCCCAGAAGAAAAGAGTGCCTAGTAAAGAGAAGGAATTTTTTTAAGAGAGATTTTTACTATAGGGTACATGTGCTCACTGGAGAGACAGAGAGAAACAGAGAGACAGAAAGTAAGAAATCACCCTATTGGGAGGATGGCCAGACCTAATCCCTTCTCCTCCATTCTTCTCAGGATCTTATGTACACACACGTGCCTGGTGTGAGTTTTAAGCTACTGGGTTTGGGACTCGAACCATGGTTGACTACATGGGAGTCCAGCAATGTAACCATTATGCCATTTGCTGGAAGAGGAAGAATTTTTAAGAAATAACCCATCTGCATTATGTAGTGGCCATGTGTTGATGGACTGACTGCCAGCAATACTAAGTAGCTGGGCTGTAGGAGCTAAGCTGACGCGACAATCACAAAGCAATTCTGGTAACCAAGGGGGCAAGTCTGAAGCCACAATCAACACGCTAGACTATGAGGATCTGAAGTGGATAAAAACATCTCAACATGGTGGGAAATAATGAAAACTACAAGTATGAGACAACTGTCAAATAGAAGGTTGTTGTCAGAGACAGAGCTGAAATTTTGACAACCTCTTCTTCCCCAAAATAACTCCTCCAGTAGCCAGTAACACTACCTGAAATTCTATCTTACTATTTTTATTTTGGGGAGATCTGTTAAAATAAAAATAATAAAATATGAAATACGGCACACTAAGAGTCCTTGAGTCATAAGAGGGGAAAAATAATTGACATATGCCAAGTATCACTCTCTTATATAACGTGTTAGCAATGACAGGACACATTACCAGTATCTACTCCAAGCAAAAATATAAAAAGCAAGTAAGATTCAGAAAAAAAACCTTCCTAATATAATACTTGATAATAAAATAGATAAATACTTCCTGGCTGTTGAGAATAAATAGTAAGCACCTACATAAATGGTCGAAATTTATATTACACGTATGCAGTTCAACTAGTTTAGTTTGCTATTTTCTAAAACCTTTTGATGTCCTTACCGAAGTGTCTACCATGACCTTTCCCCCAGCATGCTCACACACGTGCACAGATGCAGGCTCGCACACTCCGGGGTTTTAAGTCCCAAAGCAGAGGCTTCCACACTGTGACTCAGCTTCTGGTGTTCCACGCTTACCTCTGCCCCTTCCTCTGTGGTCCAAGGCTAAGCCTTTGGAGTTCTCATGGTAAAAGAAAAAGGATGAGTTGGGGCCAACACGTGGTGTGGTGGTTAAAGTGCTGGACACTCCCACATGGCCAACCATAGTTCAAGTCCTGAGCCTTATGGCTTTTTTTTTTTCTCTCTCTCTCTCTCTCTCTCTCTCTCTCTCTCTCTCTCTCTCTCTCTCTCTCTCTCTGTCTCTCTTTGGTCAAATTAAAATTAATTAATTAATAAATAAAATTTAGAATAAATAATTATTTAAAAATAAAAGAATTAGAAAAACGGCTGACAAGAGCAGGATTCAGAATCTGGAGCTAAAATGAGCAAATTAGTCACCAAATTCTCTTATAGGAAACCTCATCCATAACCATCATCTTCTAAACCTTCTCACGGACCACAGCATACGTTGTAGTAAGTCTCTCCTTCTTTAGAATAGTACCTCATTACATCCTTACAGTAAAGTGTTTTAAGAGAGGTTGACAGAATCAGACTCCAGCGGGCCCAATACCTCCTCCGCAGTCAGCACTCCAATTTTTCTCTGCAACTTCCTATTCTTATTCCAAAATCTGCTTTAATGTCAGCCCTGCTAGGCTGTAGGCTCTGTGAGGCCAGGGTTTCTATCTGGCTGTTTCATTGCTACATTTCTCCCTGGAATGGCACCTGGAAGGAAGACTACTCAATACATTACTGAGAAATGATAAAGAATGAGCCTGGACATTATTAGGATCCAGAGAGACTGTTTCTTCCTAACACGACCTAAGAAGGAAAGTCATGACCTGACTCTACCTCTTCCTCTGAAAGAACAGAACTCTTTCAAGCCCTTTCACTATGTCTACTTTTAATTGCATATCATTTCCTTTTTTGTCATCTCCCATCTACTCTTGTAAAGGCCCGAAAAAGACAGAACTGTACACTTCCAATATGCTCTAAGTATTAGAAGTAAAGCAACAGTGTAAGATAAATGCATTTGTACATAACTAGCTAATTAGACAACTTTTAACATTAACAATTTGATTGTAGAACCACCAGACAATCTATTTTATAATACTGAATAAATGATGTGTGTCATACAAAGAGGTTTTTTTTTTTCAAATAATTATTTTCCTTGATTTTTATTAAAAAGAGGAGAGGCTTTCATTTGTAACTCAAGAGATTTCTAGATGGTGAATTGGGAGAAAGAAATAATCTGCCTTTCCAGAGAAATGGTTTAATTTATAATTAATAAGCAAGGAGGATGAGATCTTTATCGACTTTACTTATGATTTATCACATATCTTCATGGGTCTCTCTGGAAAGAAATAGGAAATAACAACAGCTGGTAACATGTTCAGGATGCATTTATTTTGAAGTAGGCTTATGTCAGTATAATTATTAACAGGTTTTCTTAAACTTATTTCTATATACTAGTCTTTGGGTCATAAAAGTCTGTAAAAAGTTACTCACTTTGGCAGTACATATATTAAAATTGGGATAATTCAGAGAAGATTAGCATGGCCCCTGCACGAGGATGACATGCAAATTCATAAAGTATTTCATATTTTTACAGAGAAAACTCTTGGAGAACTGGAATGAGCAATGACTTGTTAAAGAGGATCCCCAATATACAGACAACTGTCCCCAATATAGACAGGTGGTACTAAATTAAGCTAAAAAGCTTCTGTACAGTAAAAAACTAACTAAATAAATAGAGTGAGGAGATAGCCCTCAGAGTGGGAGAGTATATTTTCAAATTATGCCTTAGATAAGGGACTCATAATCAAAATAAACAGGGAACTCAAGCACCTTACCTGCAGGAAAAAAAAAAAATCAGCCCAATTAAAAGATGGGCAAATGAATGGAACAAACAACTCTCCAAAGAAGTCACAGAAACAGTCAAAACACATGAAGACACATTCACTATCTCTCTTCCTAAGGGAGATGAGATACCACCTAACCCCAGTCAGAATGACTAAGATTTAAAAAATGATATTAAAAAGATGAAAAGAATGATAAGTGCTGGCAAGGCTGTGGTGAAAAGGGAACCCTCCTGTACTACTGGTGGGAATGTAAATTAGTACAACCACCGCGGAGAACAATATGGAGGTTCCTCAGAAAACTACAAATAGAACTGCCACACAACCCTGTAATTCCACTCTTAGGTATCTATCCAGAGGATAGGAAAATTCTCAGTAAGAAAAAACACTTGAACTTTCATGTTTATTACAGCATTATTTACCATTGCTAGGACATGGAATTAACCCAAGCATCCAAGAACAGACAAGTGGATTGAAAACTGTGGGATGTGTACTCTATGGAATACTACTCTGCCATAAAAAAACAATGAGACTATGACATGTGATAGAAAATGGACAAATACGAAAGAGTTAATGTAAGCAAAGCAAACCAGACTATGGAGGACAGGCATTGTATGTCCCTGCTCGCTCGCTCGCTCGCTCTCTCCCTCTCTCTCTCTCTCTCTCTCTCTCTATATTCTCTCTCTATATATATATATATATATATATACACACACACACACACCGAATACTTGCACTTTATAGAAATAACCAAAAGACTGGAAGGTATAATTGCAGGGAGGTCAACTGCAGATATTAGAGACAGTGTGGGGAAGAAGAGGGTAATAGGGGGTGGGGCAGGATCAGGGAAGAAACAAACAACACATGTAATAGGCACAAAAATGAAAAGTTACAGGCTGACGATAATGTATATGGTAACATCTTTGACTTGACTAATATTCAGTGTATTCATGCTGAGAAAAAACATACCGTACAGTATAAAGATGAACGATAATTAAATGTAAATAAATACAAATAAAAAATACATTTAAAAACTCTAAGAAGGGGGAACCAGCAGTTAGCGTAATGGCTATGTCGTTAGACTCCCACATAGTTGACCACAGTTCATGTCCCCGACCCGGTGGCTTAAAACTCACACCGGGCGCGTGTGCGTGCGTGCCCAAGATCCCGAGAGGAGAATGGAGGAGAAGGGATTGCAGTGTGACCATCCCCCCTGGGGGTGATTTCTCATTTTCTGTCTCTATGTCTCTCTCTGTCTGTCTGGTGAGCGCATGCGCCCTATAGCAAAAATCTCTCAAAAAAAAAAAAAAAACTCTAAGAAGGAAAAATCAATTTATCCTAGTCACCATGTGTACAGTAACCACAGCAGGGTTTTTGAAGAACACGCTCTAAACTACAAAGCAGAATTTCTATACATCAAAAGCTACCACTTCTTGATAAAACTTGTTACTCAGACCCATCACGCCCATAAATTGAAGATGGAAGGGCACTAGCATTTAGCCAAGTTTTCCTCCTCCTGTCTGGTGCTGTCCAAGGAAGTCTGTTGAAATTACTCATCCCCAGAATTATGCCACAGGTCAGTTTATTTTTTTTTTTAATCTTCACTTTCAAATGGGGAAACTGAAGTTCAAGAGTTCAAGTGTATTCAGGAGATTGCTAAGAATATGTCTAACCCTGAGTCCTTACACCCCTGGCCCCAAGAGTCTAAGAACGTTCAATATCCTGATGCAGTGCCCCTGATGTTGACGTGTCCTCACCCGCTCTCCACAGAGCAGGCCAACTCACCTCCGCTCAGCCAAAGCTGCAGCCCTCAAGGTCAGGCCATGAATACCAAGGCACCAAATGTCTGGAACCACAGAACCAAAAGTGATGTATTTATATGGCGCACAGGCTAAGTTCAACCTGGAAAATGAAGAGACCCAGACTCATCTTTCAAGAAAGAACTTAGAGCTCAGCATTTTTTATTTACTCCGGGTGTATTAGGACACTCCAATCTGAACACAATCCTCCGGGAGAAATCACCGTCACTCTGTCAGAGCAGAAAGGGAGTGGGGAGACTGATTTGTGGTGCCTGAGATTAGAGGGTAGGGGAAAAGGGTGGGCGCTGAAAGGGGGAGCGAGAGGAAAAGGGCTCCAAGATGTGAGACTAGCAGCAAGGGGGCACACACACACACCGAATACTTGCACTTTATAGAAATAACCAAAAGACTGGAAGGTATAATTGCAGGGAGGGCAACTGCAGATATTAGAGACAGTGTGGGGAAGAAGAGGGTAATAGGGGGTGGGGCAGGATCAGGGGAGAAACAAACAACACATGTAATAGGCACAAAAATGAAAAGTTACAGGCTGACGATAATGTATATGGTAACATCTTTGACTTGACTAATATTCAGTGTATTCATGCTGAGAAAAAACATACCGTACAGTATAAAGATGAACGATAATTAAATGTAAATAAATACAAATAAAAAATACATTTAAAAACTCTAAGAAGGGGGAACCAGCAGTTAGCGTAATGGCTATGTCGTTAGACTCCCACATAGTTGACCACAGTTCATGTCCCCGACCCGGTGGCTTAAAACTCACACCGGGCGCGTGTGCGTGCGTGCCCAAGATCCCGAGAGGAGAATGGAGGAGAAGGGATTGCAGTGTGACCATCCCCCCTGGGGGTGATTTCTCATTTTCTGTCTCTATGTCTCTCTCTGTCTGTCTGGTGAGCGCATGCGCCCTATAGCAAAAATCTCTCAAAAAAAAAAAAAAAACTCTAAGAAGGAAAAATCAATTTATCCTAGTCACCATGTGTACAGTAACCACAGCAGGGTTTTTGAAGAACACGCTCTAAACTACAAAGCAGAATTTCTATACATCAAAAGCTACCACTTCTTGATAAAACTTGTTACTCAGACCCATCACGCCCATAAATTGAAGATGGAAGGGCACTAGCATTTAGCCAAGTTTTCCTCCTCCTGTCTGGTGCTGTCCAAGGAAGTCTGTTGAAATTACTCATCCCCAGAATTATGCCACAGGTCAGTTTATTTTTTTTTTTAATCTTCACTTTCAAATGGGGAAACTGAAGTTCAAGAGTTCAAGTGTATTCAGGAGATTGCTAAGAATATGTCTAACCCTGAGTCCTTACACCCCTGGCCCCAAGAGTCTAAGAACGTTCAATATCCTGATGCAGTGCCCCTGATGTTGACGTGTCCTCACCCGCTCTCCACAGAGCAGGCCAACTCACCTCCGCTCAGCCAAAGCTGCAGCCCTCAAGGTCAGGCCATGAATACCAAGGCACCAAATGTCTGGAACCACAGAACCAAAAGTGATGTATTTATATGGCGCACAGGCTAAGTTCAACCTGGAAAATGAAGAGACCCAGACTCATCTTTCAAGAAAGAACTTAGAGCTCAGCATTTTTTATTTACTCCGGGTGTATTAGGACACTCCAATCTGAACACAATCCTCCGGGAGAAATCACCGTCACTCTGTCAGAGCAGAAAGGGAGTGGGGAGACTGATTTGTGGTGCCTGAGATTAGAGGGTAGGGGAAAAGGGTGGGCGCTGAAAGGGGGAGCGAGAGGAAAAGGGCTCCAAGATGTGAGACTAGCAGCAAGGGGGCAGGATGTGGACTGACTTTCCAAAAGGCATGACCCCGAGAAAGCGCACCAGCGCAGCCAGCAGCCCGCGGCAGGCTACGCACCCCGGCATGCTCTTCCTGAATATCCGCTGGGCTGTCGCCCTCGCTCCACGGGTGAACGGTTTAATCCATCTAGACAAGACGAGCTCACAATACGTGTCTGAGAGCGGGAACCTCAGCAAGGCATCCTTCAGCTAAAAGAGGGAGAGCAGTTGGGAAAGATTTGAACTACGGCTGACAAAGTGCAGCCCTTCCTTTGGCGCGCTCAGGCCGCCAGGCTGCAGTCCCGGTCGCTCCTTGGAGACAGCGAAGGAATGAAACCCACAGGGCGGGATGGAGGAAAGGAGCGCCATCAGAGGGGTTCGTCAGCTCGTGGCCCCCTCCACGTCACTGAGGCAGGGGACTCCACGAGACTATAAAGCGTGCACGCAGCCGAGGATCTTCATCCCCCAGCCGGTGCCTGGGAGCGTGCGCCCGGGCGGGACTCCAGCTCCGCGACAACCCCTAGTAGCTGTCCACCTTCCCGCGGCCAGAGCCGCAAACTCCTCGGAGACCGGCGCCTGGGCGCTCCACCTGCGAGCGGCCGCCGCGGTCCTTCCACCTCGCTTCCCGGAGGGGCTGGGGGCGCCGGCCCCG